ACCCTCTTCACAAAAGAGCAGAATTAACCGACTGAGTGGCTGACTGCCCAGATGACAGGCGCAAACTGAATGGGTGTTGCCGCCCCCTTCCACTCGTGTAGCTCTCCCCCCCCCCTCCTCTCTTTCTCTTTCTCTCTCTCTCGCCTTTTGCTGCAGTCTGCGTTTGCGGGCGAAGGGGGTACGTGCGCCGCTGGGCGGTTCAAGTCACCCAGCGGAGCGATTTGCTCCCGAGAGGAATCCGCCGCCTTTTGTGTTCACTGATGAAGCTGATATGGTCCGTGTTTCAGACCGCTGGATTGACGCACAGCAACATATCCTCTGACCCAGCCTTTTACTGCCCCTGTTTTTGTCCGCGGCGGAGCAGGTTCCTTTCGGCGCGCAGGCGTTGTCGGTTGGGTCAGCGGCACGTGTTCTCCCTGTAACCCTATCCTGCGACGTGTTTGCGTGGTTATGGATTTTTTGAGCGGTTTTTTTTGGTTGCGGTTGATATTTGCCGAACTTTTTGTTTCTTGTGTGCATTTGTTTTTGTTTTGATCTCTTATTCCTTGTATGTTGTATATGATTTTTTATTGGGTGTGCGTTTTTTAGGTGCTAGTGTGACGTAGGTTTTGCTTTGGATGTCGCTGTTTGATGACGACAGCCTGAGCTCTTTGTCCTCATCTTCTGGTGGCGATGATTGTGGCGGAAGCACACATGCTTGTTCTTCAGCCGCGCGTGGTACGGGAGGGGCGAAGGGTGTGGTGGACTTAATGAGCGCGACTGGTAGCGGCTGTGTTTCGCGGTTTACGCTCACCGTGGAGGAAAGCAAGAGGGCCGAAGAGTGGCGTCGTAGTGAGGCGGCGAGTCGATCGCAGCTTCACGGCTCGTCGGGTGCTCGGGCGGGTGGGGAGGGGAGCCGTTTTCACGCGTCCATGGCGGAGGCGCTGCAGCTGCGGCGGGACGCGCGAGAGGCCTTGCTGTTGCGGCGGGTTCAGAAGCAGCGGCAGGAGGAGGCCGGCAACGTAGAGCTGGTGGAGAAGGACCTTGAGGTTGGCGTCTTTGTCACCCCGCAGTACCTGGCGGCGTTAAGGCGGCAGAGGAATTTTCTTGTGGCCTCATCCGCTGGGAGTGCGGGCAGTGCCGCGGCGGGGGACGAGGATGGGATGGATCCCGTGGAGGCTTACGTGCGCCGACTCGAGGGGGAGCGGGCGGCCGCGGCGTCGCAGTCGTCCTCAGCGTTGCCGGGGGCCGGCTCTTTTGCCGCCGGCGGCTCCATTGACGGAGGGGTGGAGGTGACGACGCACTCTGCGCGGGCTCGCTCGCAAACCAACGCTGGCCCCGACGTGCTGTCAGTGGAGGAGGGTTGTGCGTCGACGACGCAAGACGTGTTGCCTTCACCGACGAGACGGCCTGCGACCGCCGCACCGTCGCCTGATGAGGGTAACGTTGCTGAGGGCGGCGACGTCAATTTCAGACGGTCTTTGCCGTCTGCCTCTGCGCCGCGTGAGACGGTGTGTCCTGAGGATGTTCTCCGCGAAGCAAGGGAGAGCCGCAAGCGTCATCGCGCCGACCGCTACTTCATGGCGGCCGCAGCTGAGAGGTTTAATGCGCGGGCTCTAGAAGGCGTTGGCTCGGGGTGATCCTCTAGAGCGCGGACGAAATGCGGAGTGGAGGGGCCCCAGCTTCCATGTGGCTTCTACGATGCGTCGTCTCTTGGCTCGCCTAGGCGTGCACGCAGTCCCCCTGCGTCATTGCTCCGCTTGTCTGGTGGGGGTATGGCGCTCCCCCCTCTCTCCCTCTCTCTTTCCCTCTCCCCCTCCCTTTCCCTCTCCACCTGTTGGTTTCCCTCTCTTTGCTCTGTGAGAAAAGGAACAGAAGGTAAAAAGCTTGAAAAAACAAAACCTAAAAAGAAAACGAAAAAAAAAAGTTTCACTTACGCAAGGAAAGAGTCTCCGGCGCACACGCACTTATATACACAGAGAACCGCGAAGAGAAGTCAGACGCGCCCAAGGCATAAGAACAAAGGAAAGAAGGAAAACTTCAAGAGAAACGCTCAAACAGCGGGAAACTAAGAAATAAAGCGGAACAGAAAAAGAAAAAGAGAAGAAAAAAAATAAAAGTCAGCATAAATTGCGAAGCTGTAGAGGAAGGGAGGTAGAAAGAGTGTGGAAACGGACTCCCAATCATCCACAAAGCGAGTAATACGAAACAAGGAAAAAAGAAAACACACAACGGCAGAACACAATGGCGAGCGCGGGCGGAACGCCTCCGCTGACGGAGCATCTCATCTCGGGGGGTGCGTGTAGTGATTCCACAGCGTCGAAATCAATGCAGGCGGGCCGGAGTCCTCGGTTGAGTGCGGACAGTTGGCCCTTACCCACGCCAAGGGTGGCCGCCTCGGAAGACCACATGGACAGCGGATCTTGCAGCGTTGGGGAGGCTTTCGAACAGGACTGTGTGTCGCATGCATCCGTTATCCCAGTTCCATGTGAACGCTTTTGTGACACCAGCTACGCAACTGGGGAGCGAACGCACACCTTCTTGTTTAATGAACCCTCGGCTGCGGAGCACGGCGGGGAGGATTTGCATCTGGACATTCCTCGCGCTGGGGGAGTGCGAACCCCGTTCGCTTCCAACTCCGCCATTGGCCAGCCTCTGACTCCACGCTCGCCTGTAAACCGCCGCCCCTCCCTCGTAGATTCCTCTCACATCCACCGTAGTCCCTCACTTCGCCTCTGGAATCACGACCTTGAAACTAAAGCTCAGTGCGAAGATTCGGTGGAGGATGCGGCGACGTATTTGCGGAGTCGTAGGAATCCGTCACTGATTTCCAGACATGGGCATTCCGGTGCAAGTAGTGCGCGCGGCCATGGCAGCAGATCTCCGCAGATGTTTCGCGGCGAGACAATCGAGGAGACGCTCTCGACGTCCAGGACCCCGTTCAAATCACCGGCGCAAATGCGGGCCTCACGATTGACCAACGATATTGGCCCCATTTTCCATAGTTGCTTTAGCTCGCGTCGCTCCAGCATGTTGCCCCCTGCCGTGATCCACGCCAGCGGTGCGCCCGCTTGTGTGCGGGGAGCGGATAGCAGTGGAGTGTCAGCTACACAGGAACAATACGGGCAGGGCCCAGGGGGAAGGGCGTTGCCCGCGTCTTCGCACGAGGCACACCCTTTGGTACCGGAATCAGCCTACCGGGAAAACTTTAGCAGCAGCCGGGATTTTTTTCTTGACAGAATTGAAAAATTAGAAGCGCGACTTCAGCAAACGGAGCAAACATTGGCGCAACTAGTAGAGAGGTTCGAAGCGCGCCAGGTTGAGCTAGAACAGCGTGTGGCAGAGTTGCAGCGAAGGGCAGCATTGGTGTCCCCAGCAGCAGTAGCGTCAATATCACGTTCAAATTCAGCTGGTGCAACAAGAGAGCCCTCACGCGCCATGGATGCTTGATACGTGAACCGCCTGCTGGAAGTAACTAGAAGCAAAAACGCCAACAGCACAAAGGTGAAAACAACAGCAAGAGTTCCAAATAGAGAAGAACAAGCCAATGAATGTAAAGAAAGAAAATGGGAACGGAACTGACATGTAAGTCAGTTTGTGTCCTGGATCATGTATTATGTTGCTTTTGGCGTCTGTAGTACCGCTCCCCTTTTTGTTTTTGGTTTATTGCGCCTGGAGTTCTTCTGGCATCATGTACCAAATAGATGACTGTCTTGAGATGCGTTGAGGCCTGTGTTGGCGGAGGACACCAAATTCCTTCCAATGTGTGCATGTACTTGCACTGAATGTGTGTTCACCCCAAGTGCTTTCATACTTTATAACTCAGGTTTGTTTTTTCTGTCTTTTTTCTTTTTTATTATCTTGCGGTGGTGATGGCCGGGGCTCGTGAGAATCGTGAGAGAATTGACGGGGTGCGGCGCGTGATAACGCGTCTTGTTTGGTGTCTTTGTGTGTTTGTCGATTTTTTTCACTCATCAATGAGGCCGCGTTGGGGAAGGCAGCGCGAGTGCAGTTGTGCTTGTTTCGTGCCATACCGCCAGCCCCCCACTGCCTCCCACGCAGAGGGGTTTGACGGCTGCGGAGCCCGCAACGACCGCCACCTCGTCGGCCGACAGCGAGTGCCCGGTCCTCATCGGTGCGTGTGTGTGTGTTATTGTGCGAGCGTGGGATGAATCGCACCTTCGGTGGTGGGGATGTTGGGCGCGTTAAACGAAGGTGCCATCGCCCATTGTGGCACTTTCTTTCTTTGTAGGAATAGGAGGGGCAAGGCCTCAGCCAGGCGCATATT